ATACTACGCTCATTGCAACCTCGGCTCTTTGATAACAAATAAAGCCTTGCAAGCCTTGCAGTCAAGACAACAGTTTTGATTTCTTTCCTTTCCCGCAATCGACATCAATAAAAGGCGAATAAGAATATTTTGGGCTGCTTGCATATTTAGGCCGATGTCATAGTTTGCGAATCGAGCGATTCGCTAGCGAATCGCTCGATCCGAGCGTTGCGCCAGCGAATCGAACGTTGCACCAGCGAATCGAACTTTGCGCCAGCGAGTCGAACGATGTACCAGCGAGTCGAACTAGGTACCAGCGACTCAATAGTGGCGGGACCCAACGTTTAAAGGAAGCCCGCCCACTTTCAAACAGTGTCACGTGACAGTGGACGCTGTTTGAAAGTGGCGGGCTTGTTGGGGGGTCCCGCCACTATTGAGTCGCTGGTACCTAGTTCGACTCGCTGGTACATCGTTTGACTCGCTGGCGCGAAGTTCGATTCGCTGGTGCAACGTTCGATTCGCTGGCGCAACGCTCGGATCCAGCGAATCGCTCGATTCGCAAACTGTGACATCGGCCTTAGTTTCTAGAGGACGATACGATAAAGATGATGAAATCTAGCAACACTCTTCTTGAACTAGTAACCAGTAGTGTCAACAAAGGAGTACTACCATCTTTATTATCTTCCTGACAGCAAAAAAATGCTCATTGCTTTCCATGAAAACATCATTTGTAGAAACAGTCAGACTTCTCCATCGACAGGGTCATGGGCTCATAAGCCTTTGCTTAAAATAACCTCACTATGCCATCATGCCTCAAGAGTAAATATTATAGATGCGAAGAAAGCATGTTATCAACATGTATAAAAATGAAACGTTCAAGCGGTTGTTTTCATTTCGGATACAAAAAGTGTTGTATTTGTACTGATTCGTCGAGAAAGCCTCAATGTTGAAAGTGCATGGTTACGGTAGTCTTTGAGAAAAGCAATGATTATAATTGGCGTGAGAAGGGGAAAGAGCGAAATCATAATTGTGACCGCGTAAGCAATGATTGCTGGGGTGCTCTGACCAGAGAAGAGAAATATACCAATGTTGAATGATGGTCCGTGAAGGAACATGAAAGGACAGGCACTCTGAAAATTTAAACATTTCGACCTCTCAGTTTGATTTTTGTCAAAGTCACATCCTACAAGCAAAGCGTGGGTTATGACATCTAAATAAAGGAGTGCGAATCCGCTGGTGAGAAAAGGCTTGCGACGTTCCTAATAAGAACACGATAGTTCAGCAACTGAGCTGCCAACCAGAATTGGCAATAACTTCATTACGCCGACTATTCGGTGCTTTCACCTTCTTCACAACTTGGACATGTCGAAAGTCATTTAGGGAACTACCCGTCCAAACACCATTTTAACCTACAAGAATCATTCATCAGGGTGTAAGCTGCTTAAAAGCACGAGTAGGATTTTGGAATTGATATCGTTATTTTGTTCAAACATTAGACAAAGGGTGCTGAGGAACATTGCGAGCAGCGCGGCAGCGCGGCGAGCAAGGCGTTGGCGCCATTGTCGCGGACTTTTGGGCCGCGATAGTGTCGCGTCTTTAGTGCTTGGAGAGCCCACTATCGCTACTGGAAAAATTTTTTGCTGGTTGTTGTCTGATCCTGATAGTGGTTTAACCAAGCACGCACAGTCTCCCAGTCCACAGTGATGAGAAAGAATGTGTTGCGGTGATTAGGAGGTCTGCGCCACTGCGGCTTATGTGCCGCTATGCGACGTGTTCGACACCCGGCGCATTTCTTCCTGTTGGGCGTTGCGGGGGGGGCTGTGATCGGCAGGCATTTTCCAAGATATCAGCAGCGGCCGGATCATTATGGGACAGGGCGCCCCAAGCTTCGAGGGGCCATTTGGAGTAGATTGATCTGTACATATGATCTACCCTTCGAGGATCCCTAGAACACGTGACCTGAAGGGTTTACTAGTTGAGCGCGTTATGCAAGCTCGGGGTAGCAGGTATCCTCTTGGTCAAGCACCTTGAAGGTCAGTTTTCCTCTTCCTCAATGACATCGCTCGTAGTTTGACACCCTGCTTGCTTGCTGCTGAATAGTTGTTGTGCTTGAAATAGTGGATTCACAGGGCGGGAAGTTTCCTAATTTCTATTTTACGGTTCTTCTCAAAGGGTAAAGGCACCGAAAACGTCGTATCTAATTAAATATTGCTATGATTGGTCTTATTGATGATTTATTGTGAATGTATACCTGATTGGGAAGCTCACTTACAAAGTCGTCCTATTCTGAAAACTATGCCGAGGTCTTAATAGGGTCCTCCACAGTCTCCGTCTTTCCACAATATCTCTACTGTACAGTGCCTGCCTACGGCCGAGAAACACTGAACCTCAGCGAAGGCCGGAGGAAAGCATATCAAAGAAGGCTAGAAAAGATTGAGACGTAGACACCCTGCATCCGCCAATCACATTCATTATTGCGAAACCCAGCCAGGTAGACCTTTGCAGGGAGCCAACTAAAATTCTCATCACAATTTCCATTTAATACGAGCAGAAAATTCCGCACAATATCTGTGTTGACGTGTAGATCTCAGAGTCAAATTTGTTTTAATATTTACTCACGGAACGAATAATTTTGCTTTACTCGTGGGAGACTTCCGATAGCGATAGAAAAGTCACTTAGATCACGGCGCACTTCGGTAAACTTTTCAACGCCCAGTCTACCGCCGATGATAGAAAATTCTCTGGTAGATTAACTTCACAAGATTGTATAAGCGTCAGCGAGGTTAGGGAGTTATACGATATATTTAATGGTGGCGTCAAGTAGCGGTACGTTGAGACTGCAACAAAAACAATTACTCTCATTCACGTTCAAAGCACTTCAAACCATTAGTCCATCCCCGTTTTGCAAATTTTTGAAAGCCTTCTTCAGCTTTCATGAAGACTACTCTAACCCTAAAAGAGCTGAAACTGGCAGTTACGGCCACTTTTGAAGCTTTCCAACTTTTCAACTCAGAGCTACAGATAGTGCACAATGACGATCACACCAACACGTCTCTGATAGGTTGTACACAGAACATTGTAACACTGAGTCTGTGCACTGCAGAACTTAAGTTCGTATGAGAAAAAAGAATTAGAGGAAGCGACACAGCGATACAAGATAGCTTTTTGAAGCATTGCAGCGTCAATTTTTCGTTTTCATAATTGCATTGTAGAGGTTTTCTGTCTTCCCAACTGAGACTGCCCTGATAAGGGGCCCATACTTGATGTATGTGTATAGGTCAAAGTAAACACACACTGAAAATGAAGAACTGCATCGTTCAAAAGAATAAAATTAAAAGGGAATTTTGGATCAATTAGCTTGGAGGGAAAGATAGATGTGCGCCAAGTCGACTAGTGTCCATACTAAACACTATATACGTGCGATCACAGGCTGATGTTAAAGCTTGAGATGGTCCTTTTACACGTCCATGATCTTCATGATGCAGAAGACTGATGGAATTTAGAAGACAGTCCTCTATGCTACGACCAATTCCGTTTTCCCTTGGTCTGCTAAGTAGGCTTTGCCTGTTCCACATGATAAAATCCACACTATTCCTTTAAATGGGCACAATAGGTCTTAAGCTATTCGAAGGAGGATCAGTTTTAATTGGGGGAAAGTTTAGTGAGTTATGCGCGCTCTTAACTGTTATCTTCGGAAGAATTTGCTGTTACAGCTTTAAGCATTTTTCATTTTGTATGGAGTTATTTACGGGAAACAGCAGAATTCCGTTTCAAGTCTCAATAATTCCTGAGGCAGGAAAAGTCCATCTAATAACTTCGTATTATATATAATATATATATATATTATATATATATATATATATATATATATATATATATATATATATATATATATATATATATATATATATATATATATATATATATATATATATATATATATATATATATATATATATATATATATATATATATATATATATATATATATATATATATATATATATATATATATATATATATATATATATATATATATATTAATAAAAAGTTGGGTCTATTCCAGTTAGGGGGGCATCATGGTGCGGTGACTCCCAAAAAGCTACGGTAACTCTGAGCCAGGGGGAGTGTAGCCAGCCTAGGGGGGTGGGGGGTGGGGGTGAGGGCAGTCACTTGACATGCGTGAGAAGCTGGAATGTTCGAGTTTACATTAGCTCGCCGAGAAACTGCATCATGATGCCCCCCCCCCCTAACTGGAATAGACCTAAATTTAATGTAACAATTGCACTTTCTATATAGATCCAAGTCATAATGAAGTTTTCTTAATCAACTAATACAGCACAATCTACAAAACTTTACTGCTATAGAAGAAAAAAAATGTTATGTAAACTAACCCACATCAATTTTTCTTGATAAAAGGAGAGATCCTTTCAATCACATACATCTTCAAAAAGTGTTTCATTTAGGCAAAGAGGGGCATGGTCTGTTCGAAGCGTAAGTGTTTGACGTGAAGTGGGTGTTATAGTGTGACAACTGCACACTGCACCTACTTGACGCGCACCATTGATATACGGGTATACTACCTAACCTTCTGGCTTATAATTTGTGAATACTTCTGAGGTGCATCTTTAGCAGGGAGGAAGAGTCTCCTTCTGACTGATTTCACCGTCTCCTAATGTAACGAACGACATGTGCCGTCGTCAAGTTTTGAGGAAGAATTCACGCTGGAAAGGCAACCCATTCCAAATCATCTCAGCGATGGTGAGTGGTACACTATAGGAGGAAAAAGCATGGAAACGGCCTAGAATCAAGAAATGAGACCCCTTCTCGCAATTCTTGATTTGAGCATTGATGCGAACTCTCATCGGCGCACCCTCTTCAACACTACGCTCTCTCACCTATCTAATCACTCGCCACGTATAGACCTGCGGCGAGAGATCAGACGATTACTATTTTCTTCAGATCTTCGTTTATCGTGAATTTCGATTCATTCAGATGGTATCTGAGCGCTTGAAGACTGAGCCACAGCTTCCTCGAAAGGCATTTGGTGAAGCTATCTTGGAGCATATCTATAATTATGCGGCCTTCGACAGCGTTTCAGATGGATTATGTAATGATTTCACGATTCGTTGAGTATTGAACGTGCATTAGTTCCACGGACTTTATTGATATGCGGGGTAGAGCGTTATTATTAATAAGGTTTTTAGTCGTTTAAATTATAGGGGGGAAAAATGTAGACACTACGCTCAAGTGTTGTGAGAGAATGACTTTTTGCCTCACAACTGCTGTAGTAATGATATATTTGCTGCACCATGACCACCTCACCACAACTTTGGACTTGAACGCATTCCCCAATAATCTGCTCTGAAATCTTTCGAATAATCACGGTTTCAAGTTCCATTTTGTGGTTAACTACACTTTCAAAAGCAATTTCCGAGCTGTTCTAAAATTTTAGAGTTTGTCAGGTGAGTTTTTTGTTTTTCATGTTGGTCAAACATTTATGCGCACTGGATGGCCATGTTCACATGCAAATGGTTCAGTCGGTTATGTAGAGCTGTTCGTAATTACCACACCATAAGAATTCATGCGTGGTAAAAGAATATGACCCCTTTCGTTACTCGTAGTGGTCGCATTAGAAAAAATGAAGCTAAGCTAGCGATTGCAATGAAAGGTCACTCCACCTGAAGCAATAGAAGCTTGAACATCTGCTCGTGTAGTTTTCGCAAGCTCTTGCTGATCGTAGCTTTCTTGAGGGTAGTGTGTATTTTTATAGCAGAATAAATGACAATTGTCGAGGTGAGAGCCAAGAAAATAACGGTCCCAATCGCAAGCGCCAATTTGAGAACACTAAAGTCGTACTGAAAATCATCAATTCCAGAATCATAAATTCAACAGATAGTCAGAGCAATAATGCCAACAAAACTGGTAAAAGTGCACTGAAGAGCAAAAACTAATGAGCATAGGAGAAATGAATAAAAGCGGGAACATAGTGTTGAAATCTCTACTGTTGAACAAAATGATCACGAGCTTTTAGTTTTGGTGTGCTCAAGCTGGGAATTGGCGTCATCGATCCGATTTTCAGCATTTACCACTTTCTTCCTCCGATAATTCTTCAGAATAGTGCGGTACTGGTAAAGGATTGCAGGTGTTTGTTTCTCATGGTGAGCACTGTATACAGATGCTTGAAAAAGTGGTTAGGTGCAGAGTCAACCCTGCGTTGCGCAGTTCGCAACGGCACGTTGAGAGATCCTCAACGCACGCTGTATGGGCGGAGACACAGACGGCTCGAGCATGCGAGTGTGAATGTTCGCGCGAGAGAACGTGTCTAATCGGGCGAAACTGCGCAACGTGGCCGTTGAAAACTGCGCAACGCAGGGTTGACTCTGGTTAGGTGGGAGATTAAACCATAAGTAAGGTAGGTATCAGAGTAATTCAAGATTGTGATAGATGAGTAGTTGCCGGGATTCCCTAGCGCAGCGCTTCTAAGCTATGAAAAGTCGCGAGTGTTCCAGTATTGCTGCGTTAAGGTGCTACGAGTCACTCGCGAATTGCAGGAAAAAAGTAATGAGCTAGTAGTGCAAGCGATGCGTCAGTGATTCGACTGATGCACCAACGGTTCAACAATGCAGGAAAGTGGTGAATTAATGTGCGCATGATTGGGACTCTCGCCACTATCCACACCTAGAGTCGCTGGTAGATCGTTCGAAACGGAAATACGTTCCCTCGGACCTTGTTTAAATCGAGAGCTGCGGGCTACCATACTTCTCGTTTTTCAAATTACCGTCTATGAACATCACGCAGCGCACAGACATAAGTAAGTGCAAAAAGATGTTCACGGCTCTCGTTCGCGTTGTAAAGCAATAGAAATCGCAATTATGGAGCACCGTCATTTCGAGAGAAAGGAAACGCTTCGCTGATATCATCTGCTGCTTTGTGACTGGCAGGTGTGGCTCTACGGATGTACCTTCGTTCACCTTCTATTTATCCCATCGAGAGCTTAGGAAAAATCACTTCTTAACTAAGTTATTCTTGTGATCATGGCTATGAGCATGTTGCACGAAAAGCGCAGACTGAATTCGAACAATATCTGAAGGTCTTAATCATGTATTGACGTTTTTCAGAGAACCCTTGCGGTTAAAACCAATACAAAGCAACACTACATCTCTTACTTGTACTTCTCACTATGAGTACTGCTGAAAATTACTCCTGGAACAAGTAATTTCTACTGGATTTGAAAAAAGCAGATACCCACTTTCATGGATATTCCAAGCTGTGCACATTCGAATGGATTGAGTCCAGTCGTTGTACGAGCCACTCGGCTGATGCGTTCGATAAAAGCTTTATTCGGCCAACACACTATGGAAATTACCGCCGCCCAGTTTGCAAAAATTGCTCCATTAACCAATACTATGATAAAGAACTTTCGAGGATCCATAATATGATGGAAGAGATGATGTCTGGAATAGCGATGGAAAGACTTTCACTAACATTCGACATTCGCTAAGATTCGGGAGAGTTCTGTGATTTAGGAGTGGATTGATAACTAGTTATAAATGACAAATGCTGTCATCTCTGAGCTTCATTCGATTCTGGATCATAGATGATTGTTCTTGAAGCTTCTGGACTTCCAGCATTAATTGGCAAGCTTCCGGCCATAAACATACCAATTTTAAACATTACAATACTTGCAACTTTTCTACTATAACTGTACATCTACATAAGGAAGAGCGGAGGGGACCTATTGGAGTCGGTGAACTATAGTGAAAAGTGAAAAATGGCGTCTCAGTTTTTACACGTTCCCGACCCCATAGATCCCCTCCGCTCTTCCTCATCTCTGGTATGTTGACGAACTGTGTTAGAACAGTGGACGAGTTGCAACTATTGTACTTTTTTTAGATTGGTCTGATGATTATTGCCGAAAGTAACCCTATAAATTGTGAAGTCATAAGAGCTCAAAAAATAATCATCTCAAATACAGATTATATAGTTCACCGTGACTTCTTTCGTTGTACAACTCTTTGTGTTGGAAATTCTTATTATCCCAAAGCAGACTATTCGCGGAATTCTTTAAAAAATATTTTTGTTATGATCAGAAGTGCGACTCCTTCAGTTTATAACAATTTGGAATCGCACTTCTGATCATAACATCCCCGACACCGTGATCTCTTATAGATCGGGGAATTTGTTTACAATTCGGAGAGCGGTTCTCGGAATTCATCACATTGAACGTGGATTGAGCATTCCTTTAAGTTTGCCACAGGTGGACTATACCTTTCAGCGGAAGAAATCGTCACGTATTTTCTGTCGATTCCTCCTACGCATTTATTGCTCTAAACGTGAAGTTTTCGATGGCTACTACGGCAGGAAAGGAATGTTGACTGGCGCTGGCGTAGGTGAAGACTAGCTACAGCTGTGTCTACTGCTCATGTCTTCGGGCTAAAATGTCATGAGTACACGCCCGGATCTACGCCGCCGATGTGCTTTCCCATAAACTCATTCACTACAAACTCTTACGCTACTAGCGCTCTTCTCTTTGTATACAAATGCCGCGCACGCTTTTCCCAAGGCCACGATTCCATTGCGTCGCATAACAGTTCGTTGAAGAGTTCATTTTACAAGCAGGCGAAAATTGCTTGGGGCTCACACTAAGAACCGCTCCTAGTGAGACTGCAGAACCTACTCTGCGATTTAAGAAACGTTCTAGCACAATATTCGCAGTTCTTTATGCTCCCTTGATGATTGTTGAAGAGTGCACAATTAATCAGTCAACTCACTTGCAGACCAAGAGATAGCGATACAGGAAACTGTTAGCGATGAGCATAATAGATGTGATAAACACGAAAACGAATGCAGTTACAAATACTTGTCCCAACGCATGTGCACGAAGTGGTCCGGTAGCGAGAAAGACGAGTGAGTAATTTTCCGCAATAGCCACCTATAGATGTTGAATAAATCCATTTTTTAGCTTCTTCATTGAGAACTCGAAGTTATGATGTATATTAAGCTTGTTTTTGTTCCATAAGCACATTGAAAATGCAAAGAGGATAGGAGAATTAAAATCAATTGTAATTTTACGAAAAATTGTAATACAAGTAAATTTTAGGCACTATTCAACTATTACAACCCCAAAATCTCAAAATTTTATTTTTCGTCGAAACTTTGTCTATAGGGGTAATTCGGTGCCCTGATTACGAAAATGACATTCATTTTGGCGGTGGCGCCATCTGGCGCCAGTTGGCGCCACCTTGTCACGACACATGTTTTCACCAAATTCGGTGTAAAGTTCTGTATAGGGGTTATTTGATGTCCTGATTACGAATATGACATTCGTTTTTGACATTACCGCTGTTTACCGCATACTTCCCGCTTTTCTGGGCTCTCTCACCTATACATAGCCTTGGACTAAGGGGATAGGGAACCCGGATGAGTAAATCTGGACCTGCTTAAAGGAAGCGTGTAATCACAGGTGGGTGTTACTCACACCTTAGCCTCCCACAAGAACCTAATTCGGAACCATACGGTCACACCGTAACCTCTCGACGTTGCATCTGAGGCCCGGGCAACTCTCACTTGCATCCGATTCTCGCTCTCTGCGCTCCTCCAACGGAGAGAAACGCGGCAGCCCCGCGCAGAGACTAAGCGTCCGTTATGTAGAAGCCAAGGACAACAACAGCGCTCTCGCCCCAGCTGGATGCCGGCGCCCGCGGGATACTTCCCCACATCTCTTTTGTGTCAAGCGGCGCGAGGCGGACGCTGCGACGGTGTTCGGCTTCGTCGCGCAAGCGGCGAGGCGGACGCTGCGACGTCGCTCCATTTTTGGGTTCGCTGCCCTGAACAGCAGGGGCGGCGTCGTTGACCGCTCTCACACTAGTGCTGGCATTGAAGCGCTGCGACGGTGTTCGGCTTCGTCGCGCAAGCGGTGAGGCGAACGCTGCGACGTCGCTCCATTTTTTGGGTTCGCTGCCCCGAACAGCAGGGGCGGCGTCGTTGACCGCTCTCACACTAGTGCTGGCATTGTGCACTGGAAAGCCTGCAACCGCGCTCTGACGCAAACGTGGGTTACGGTATACATCCTATGTTCCTTAACTTATAATCTTGTGCCCTCCTACACCAATGATTAGCCTGACGCGATCATAATCGCTAAATGTCGTTGCCACACAACGGAATAAGCGCCAAATGGAGCTAGCGCCAAAAATGAATGTCATATTCGTAATCAGGACACCAAATTACCCCTACCCAGAAGTTTACATCGAATTTGGTGAAAACACTGTCGTGACAAGGTGACGCCAACTGGCGCCAGATGGCGCCACCGCCAAAAATGAATGTCATTTTCGTAATCAGGGCACCGAATTACCCCTATAGGCAAAGTTTCGACGAAAAATAAAATTTTGAGATTTTGGGGTTGTAATAGTTGAATAGTGCCAAATTTTATTTTCAACGAGACTTCAAAATGTGTGCTTTCCAATGGAATTGTGAATGAAAACTAACAGGAACAGCGGCGGCTACGCAGAACGAATAAATAATGTCCTGCAGCGCAGTCAATAGAAAGAAATATTTGTAGGATTTCACAGCCTTAAGTGGACACCAAAAGAATACGAGTAGCAGATAAAGGTTGACGGCAATCGACAGGCATGAGATGGTCTGACAAATTGTCGTAAATGCTGGTGTCATCAGGAGCCAGCTAAATAGATAGCTTCGATTACGCTCCAAGAATATGTTCAAGTTTGCTTTCCTCTCAAAGCCTTCCTAAATTAATACTATATAGGTGGAGGCATTTCGAAACATTCGAGCTACATTCATGAGAAAATTCCTTGCGTTCACGGGAAACCACTGCCAATAAGTGATCATGCCTGTTTCAGATATCAAAACCACCTACCCTCGAGTGTAGTTGAACGACGGTTCAATCGCAGAAAAGCGGCCGACAAAAAGAAAACCTGTAAACAAACAACAGGAAAAAAACAAGCAACTATTCTACGTAACGAAACACGTTGAATTGATCGAGCTTCTCTATTCTTTCACATGCTCAGCATTTTCGAATGGCGATGAGATAATCCAATATCCTTTCTAGGAGAGTCCCCAGAAATAATGAACCAGAAAAGTTGCCCAAGCATTACGCATTCAAATGAGTGAGGAGGCCATGGTCTTCAAGTTTCAGGTACGCATAAAATAGCCGAGCTAAGCTATCGTGTTTTCCTACCCTCCGTAGTAACATTGCAAGTTCTTCTAAGGTTTGCAATCCTACTTCTGGGCATTTTCACAATTTTCACTACTCCTCATCGTATATATTCTTCATACTGT